CTGGGATCAAGTGAAGTAAGGGTTTCCCTAGACATAGGCTTGTGCTTTGAGGCTGGGATCAAGTGAAGTAAGGGTTTCCCTAGACATAGGCTTGTACTTTGGGGCTGGGATCAAGTGAAGTTAGGGTTTCCCTAGACATAGGCTTGTGCTTTGAGGCTGAGATCAAGTGAAGTAAGGGTTTCAGGTGCTTATTGCTGCAATATTGTGCAGCTAATCTGATCACCAGGAGGGAGACCCAGCCTCTGAGGGACAGGAGACATCTGCAGCCGTCAGGGTGGATCCATGTCTTCAGAGGGCCACACTGCTGGGGGGTGGGGACGCACAGGGTTTCACCACACTACTCCAAATGGTTTGCCGCTTTAATTTATGATCAATTTGGTGCTGGGCATTACCTTAGTACCGAGCTGCATCTCTGATTCTTAAGAAAGTTTTTTCTTTTTGGATATAGGGTCTCACTAAGTGGCTGAGACTGGGCTTGGACTGCCTACTGTCTCAGCTTCCATGAGGGCTGGGATGACAGGCGTGTTTACTTCTGGAATTTCCACTTACTATTTTCAGACTGAGGTTGACCACGGGTAACTGCAACTGCAGCAAGCAAAGCCACAGATGAGGGAGGGCTCTTGACTAATCAACGGCCTCCTTCTTGTCAGAAACATGAGTCGGAAGTCCTAACCTTCTCCTAAAGTCCAGGCTGGGCGAAGGCAGAGACAGGAGGCACATTGGTCTCGGTGGGGTGGAAGGCGACCAGCTCAGTGAGTGGGCGTTGGGGGCCAGGGTGGGGAAATGCTTTGGGACCGCACAGAGCTGAGGGCTACACCCCACTGTGAATGTGGCAAGAGCCCCTGGGTTGTCTGCTTTGGAACACACCCTGGTGCCTCTCATGACAGTGTGCTACGTATTTCAAAGGCTAGGAGAGAGGATCTCAAACGTTTTCACCACAGACAGATGATTCATGTCTGAGGAGAAGATGTGCTCAATCCAGCTTGCCTCGTGTAAACGTCTGTCAGCACCATGTGATTCCCCACAAGGGCCCACAATGTTTGTGTGTTTATATATCAGTTAGACTTAATTTAATGAAAGGTTAATCTCATGTTATTTAAATTTATCCCCAATAAAAATGGAAGCGAAAAGCCCTTGTTCTCTGCCTCGCCTGTCCTGGGGAGGCAGCACCTTGTTCTCCACCGCACCCCAGCGGCATGGGGGCGGGGCTGTCCGTGGCTGTAGATAGGAGCATCTCCGTGGCAGGAGGGTCCTACCACGTGTCCCGCACACGCCGGGGTTCTAGCTCCCCTTAGGGTGAGCCTGCGACCTTGAGGAGGCCCTGGCCTTGGGAGAGACTCGCTGGCACCTCCATTTCCCACCACCGATCTCTGAGCTGACTTCCTGGCAGGACGGAGGGGTCCTGCTCCGGTTGTACCGTCTTGGGCGGCCCCGGTGGGTGCTTCGGCCCAATCTGCCCCGCTCAGCGCACGCAAGCTGCGCTCCTCCCCGGTGGCAAGTGGGTCTCCGTGTCACGTTCCGTCCTTGTGACCTGCTTCCTTCCTGGGCTGTCAGCAAGCTGTGCCGAGAGAATCAAGTCCCTGAACTCCATCTTCCCTTCCCAGCCGAGGAAAGCCACAGCAGGGAGTGTAACCGCCTCCCAGGGTCAGGAGGGGAAATGCCCTCGCAGATGCAGGCCTGGGCCTTTGCGGATGCTGGGGCACACGCAGTCGGGAGCGTTAGTTTCGCTTCTGCGGGCTTTGTGCGGGGTTGTGCCAGGCCCTGGCCAGCTGCGGGCTGCGAGAGAGACCCCATTTCAGGCTGCGCAGGCCTCCTCCCGCGCCCGCCTCAGCCCAGCCTCTCCGGGCCGCCCTTTGGTCCTAAGGCTGGATTTGGTCCTAATCCTAATCCCCGGATTCCCTAAGGTTGGAGGGCTTTGCCTGTGCCCGCCCTTCTGCGCCATACGGGGTGCTGCGGCCTAGCTCTCTCCTGGGCTGAGGACGAGGCACTGTGGGTCAGTTACCAGCGCATGTCAGCGGGACTCGCAGGATGCGGGAAGCCAAGCAGCAGGTGCGCAAAGGAGCACGTTCAGCGGTTGATCTCGGTTGCGAGAGCCGAAGCGGGCGGGTGCGGGGGCGCACGCTCGGGATTCCGGCTGCTTGGGAGGCCGAGGCAGGGAAATCGTGAGCTGAAGGTCAAAAAGATTTAGGGAGACCCTGTCTCTAAAACAATGGCCGTGGTTTGAAGCTGGGGTCTCAAGGATGCTAGGGAAGCTGCAGTCACACCCCGGCATTTACACACCTCCTAACTGACACATGGACACGCTTCCTTTAAATGGTTCGGTCATGCTACGCGAGCCGCTGAGGACACCCGGGGCGCGACGGGCGCATGCGCTGACAGCCGGCCGGAACCGACACCGCTCCCCTTGGGCTATGCCGCGTGTAGATCTCCTTGAACTCTGTACAGAGGCGAAATCTCGGGGCACGTCTGTCAGAAGCGCTACGTCGCTGTGCTCAGCGGGCATCTGGGTGCCGGTACCTTGGACAGTGTTCGGAGCGATTGGGTCGTCCCTCAAGAGGGCGCTGTGGGCACCCGCAGGAACCTGGCGGCTGCTCAGCGCGCGCGAGCAGGCGGCGCCTCCTCCAGGTCGGGCTGCAGCGCCGGGGATCTGAGCCTGCCGTGGGCTGAGGCACAGGATGTGGGCAGGGCCCGGCCGCGGTAGGCTGCGGTTTGCACAGCTCGCAGGAAGGGAGCTAAGAATAAGACTGCCCAGCCCTGCGCAGCTCGGTGGGTGCAGAGTGGGGAGAGCAAGGGTGGGCGGCTCTGGGGGAGGCCCCTGTGGGCGTGGTCACTCCTTGGGCCCTGAGCAGCGCCTTCCTGCCCGGACCCCAAGCCCAGAAGGTCAAATATGCAGAACAGACACGGAAGAGAGGTGTCCAGGCTGGCAGCGGGTGCAGACAGCCAGCCCCAGGGGCGGGGGTGGGGTGGTGGTTGAGCTCCCTTGGGGGGTGGGATTCAGAAAATTCTGGAAAGCCTGCAATCCCAGCCTGCCAGGAGACTGAGGCAGGAAGACTGCAAGTTCAGGCCCAGCCTACGCGCGTTACCTAGGCCCTATCTCAGAATGAAAAGGGACTGGGGCTGGGGCTCAGTGTGGAGGCCTGGGGTTCAGTGCCCAGCACTGAGGAGAATTCCAGAAGTGGACAGCGATGGTCACGCAAAGCTCTGAGCACTAAATGCCACTTTCTGAGGGTCCGCGTGGCAAATTTGCTGTGGGTATATTGTGACAATAAAAAGCCTCAGGCATTGCCAAGCGAGTCTTTTGCACCCAGAGCGGAGTTCCCAGTTGAGAGCCACCGTTTATGTTACCGAGAACACAGGTAGGGCGGCCATACTCAGTGGGCCAAGACCGACTTTGTTTTCCGGTACCAGGGTTTGAACCTGGGCCTTTGCACTTGAGCTACATTCCTACACCTTCTATTATCATAATTATAATTATAATATTTTTTTTATCTTGTTGAAATAGGGTCTTACTATGCAGCTTAGACTGGCCTTGAGCTTACTTTGTAGCCCAGGCTGGTCTCTAACTTGGAACAATCCTCCTGCTTCAGCCTCTCAAATGCTGGAGTTACAAGAGTGCACCACCATGCCCAGGTCCTAGATCTCCTATTGTTATTATTATTGTTGTTTTTTTGTTATCATTATTATTAATTTGGAACATTTCACTATGTTGCTACATTGCCCCTACTGGGGTTGAAATTGGGATTCTCCTGTCTCAGCTTCCCAGAGTGCTGGAGTTACAGGAAGTGGATTTTCTCGGAGTGGAGAAGGCTCTCTCGAGTGTCTGTAGGTCGCAGCCAGGACAGAAGGAAGCACTGAGAGTGAAGAGTGCTCGGTGGGGCAAGGCTGTGAAACCCCGGAGGACCTGCAGCTGCAGACAGGAAGAGCATGGGCTGGGCTGTGTGGCGGGGAGCCTGTGATGCAGGACAGTTTTTTTTCTCTGATTTTTTTTTCCTGAGCACTCCATCCCGACTGGCTATTCTGCATTAGAACAGGCAGCAGGAGCAGGCAGCGACCCTACAAGCCCAGACCCAGGAAGCGCCCTCACAAACGCTGTGTGTGCACAGCTCCTGCCGAGCGCAGCTTAGGAACTAGGCAGGGTCAGAGCTCAGTGACCTGCAGCAAGTCCCACAGCTGTAACAGGAACCAAAACAAAGGAGGAGTTTCCAGGCATCCTAAACTTTCTTGCCCTGTGGTAACATGGGGTGTGGGAGAGAAGCAGAGGAGACGACCGAGAACTCAGCTGTGGCGTGGGTTCCACTCATGGGGGCTCTTTCTTTTCTTTTCTTTTTTTTTTTGAAATGTATTAATCCAGGTTTGCAATACATCATGATGACATTCATCACAGGAGTTGGTTTGCCAACGTGGCATGTCTCAGTTCTTTTTTACTTTCTCTTAGCTTCTGTTTTCAGAACTGGTTTTCTGCACGAAGATATGAAAATGAAGCTGGGCGTGGTCGGTCATGGTGGGGCAAGTCTGTAATTCCAGCACTCGGGAGTCTAAGGCAGGAGGATCATTGGGAGTTCGAGACCAGCCTGAGTTACAAAGTGAAAGTGAGCTCAAGGCCAGCCTGAACTGCATAGTAAGACCCTGTCTCAAAAAAACAACCCAAAACAAAACAAAACAAAACAAAAAACCCCAAAACAACAACAACAACAACAACAAAAAGATGAGGGCATCTTGATTGTTACAAATTGTTGATAAGTAAATATTAAGCATAATGTCATTTAATAGAGAAAAATCACAAAAATGTATTATTTTTAAGTGATACAAATGCTTTCTTATGAAATGAGACATTAAGATCATATATCTCAATAAAATTATTTAAAAAAAGATGGAGTGTGTACAGTATAAACTGTTCTTATATGTGTGATAAAATAGGTGAAGATTAACAAGAAAGATGGAGGCAGGGGCTTTGCTTTGAGGATAGGGTCAGCTGCTGGTGGGGCCCCGGAAGGAGACTGCTAAACTTCAGTGGTGCCTCGCAGCAGGAAGCAGTGTGCCCGGCGGTGCTGGAAGTGTGGGGGAGAAACCCGGGGATTCACAGAGAGCACACTGGTCAAGCAATGGCCGTGACTCATCCACATGGCTGACACTGACAAAAAAGTCTACAAATTGTGGTACAGGGTTTCAGGATAAATCCTGAGGGGATTTGACTGACCTTGTCAGACCTAGTTTTTGTTATATAGGTCTTGCTTTATCTTGGTCTTAACCATCCAGCAGAAAAGTATAAAAACGAGGTATAACAAGTAAAGCCATATTAGTATGCTGAGCTGTAAAAGCTCAAGTTAACAACTTCTGACATTGCCAGTCCTGTGACTAGCCCCCTACTATTAGGGACTACTGGAGTAGATAGGAATATTTTGCTGAATTCGCGCACCTATAATATTTAAATGACAATGGAACACCCATCTCTGACAAAATTAAACATAAAAAAGGGATACAAATGAAGGACATTTTGTAGCTGTATATTCAAAATAAGCTAGATATACAGCTACCTTCTCTTAATTCAATGAATAGAAAGATTTGTATTAATAGTGTTTGTGGACAGGATATCATGTCTGCATCTTGTACTATGAATAACCACTAAGAAGACAACAGTATGCAAAGTGTTAATTATTGAAACTGTCCTACTAATCGGTTATGAAACTGTCTCATTGCTATTTGCTTCTCAATAAGATTATTTTAAAAAAGGAAGTATGGGGGTCCCGGGGGCACTGCGCAGTGGGGGGGGGGAGTAATGCCTGGAAGGGGGGATGCTGTCGGGACAGGTTCTTCTTCCTGTAGTGCCTGGGCTACAACTACCTGACTCCCCCGGAGACTACTTCAGCCTCGTGGACTGCAGTCTGTCCCCTCAGATTTGTTCAGCCAGGGGTCTCAGCTAAACAGAAAGAGTTTACTGAAGATGTGAGCAGACTTTTTGAACAAGATGACTTTGAAAAAGTCAAGGAAATTTTAAATAGGTGAGCTACATTTCAAGTGTAGAAGAAAAGCTCAAGTTAAAGAAGGCCCCCCCTTAATCAACTGGTAAAGTATCACAAGTAAAGTCTTCCCTCCAAAACTACATACAACAAAAACAAAGCAATAAAAGTTCCAAAAAAAAAAAAAAAAGATGAAGGCATTGTAGAGGTTTGTGAGACATTTTAAATCACCTGTGGGACACAGAGGCCAAAGGTATGTCTCCCTGTCTGGGGCAGCGCCAGGGTTAGCCCACCTGCCCAGTCTGCAGGGCCCTGGGTCCTGCCCCAGAGCCACAGGGAGGTGCTCACCCAGGAGGACACACCAACCAGGTGCGTTGGGTGCCACTGCGACCCTGTAGGCAATGGCACAAACACTGTCCCAGGGATACAACAAAGAGCGCATCTGCCTGACCCTGAGAGGTACGCGAAGACAAAGCAGCCCTTACAAGACTGCCAAGAAGGACATTCGTGGGCTGGCATTTCCAGAGTGCAGGAGCGCTGAGAATCCCTGTGGAAGGTGATGGATGCTCAGTTTCCAGAAGCTTCCTGGAGACCACAGCAGGGACTGGGCTGGGCCTGGCTCCAAGAGGGCGTGGTTCTGGCAGCAGGGAGGTCAGGGGTCCATGCTGCTCAAGGGAAACAGCCAAGAGTGTGACCCGAGTGGCTGGAAGAAGGTTTGGAGCAGCGCCATGGGGAAGTGGAGGCTGGGGCTGGCAGAGGCCAAGGGTGGAGGGGAAGCCCAAGGCCAGGGTGTTGCAGCCTGAGAGCAACAGGAGGGGCCAGTGGAGCCAGTGAAGGGACGCAGGGAGGAGGAGGACATGGTCAGAGGCCACATGGCCACAAGGAGAGGTGGGCTGAGGTATTCACAGTGCTTGGGGCTCCATCATGGTCACCAGTCTTGGCCCAGAGGATGGAGGGTGCAGAGCCAGGGCCCAGAGGGGGAGGCAGGGCCAGGAGCAAGCCCAGCTGCATGGACAACGTCTCAGAAAGCTGGGCCCAGAGAGGATGGAGGAGGGGCGCCTGTGCTAGTCACTGTCCTCGTGTGCTGGCCTTCTGGCCTCCCTGAGAACCAGGCCAGGTGTGGAGAACAGGAAGTCAGCTCCGGGCTGCAGCCCAGCGGCAGAGCACTTTTCTAGCAGGAGCCAGGCTGAGGGTGAAATTGCATTCCAGAGAGACAGGGCCCTGGACCTTTAGCTCTCTGGGAGGCTGAGACTGAAGAATTCTATGTCTGAGCTGTATTTTGCACTGAGCTACACCCTCAGGCTTTATTTATTTATTTTTAAATTTTGGGACCGGGTCTTACTGAGCTGCCAAGCTGCCCAGGTTAGGCTCGACCTTTCCATCCTCTTGCGTCAGCCTCCCAGAGGGCGGGGCCTACAGGGGTGGGCCACCAGGCTGTTAAAACCCCACTTTTAAGGATCTGGGGGTCTTTAGCTGTGCACACTGGCTGGCCCTCTTGGGCATGCCTTCCAGACTGGGGAATTCAGAGGTCACCCACGAGTGAGTCTCAGGAGGCAGAGAAGGAGAGGCCGGCCAGACTGGACGGTTAGTGGTGTGAGGCCTGTGGTCAGAGTGCAGCAGAGCCGCATGGCTGTTTGCACAGTGCTCCGTGTGAAATCCCTGTGCTGAGAGGTGCCGGGCCTCGCCCACCACATCCTGGCCTCTCACTGCTGCCAGCTCCCTCCTGCCCAGAGCTTAGCCTGGCCTGCAGAGCAGGTGCCATGTGGCCCGTACTTGCTGCCCTGCTCTGCCTGGGTGAGTGCTGGGTAGGAGGGAGGTGGGGCAGCGTGTGTTGGGGGCAACACTTAGCCTCCATTCTGTTTTCCAGGGCTGTGTTGGAGCCAGGGAGTCAGCACCCGCAAACGTGAGTCTTTCTTGGAGCCTGGAGTCTCTGTGGCTTCCGTCCACCCGAGGGTGGCCCCTGGGCATCTCAACAAGGAGGGCTCAGGGTGGGGGTGGGGCTGCATCCTGCTGGGCTGGGCAGCAGCTGGCCTCCTGGGGTGGGGCCCCATCTGGACATGGAACTCTGTTTTCCTTCCAGAGACGCTCTCCAAACCCATCATCTGGGCTGAGCCCAGTGCTTTGGTTCCGAAGGGGATGCCAGTGACCATCTGGTGCCAGGGTGCACCGGATGCTGAGGAGTTTCAGCTGCATTTTGAGGGGGTCCTTTTTGCCTCAGGGATGCCGAAGCCCACTGTGCCTAGGTGCAAAGCCGACATCCTCATCCCGACCATGACCTCCCGCACTGCAGGCCGGTACAGCTGCTCCTACCGCAGTGGGGGACGCTGGTCGGAGCCCAGTGATGGCCTGGACCTGGTGGTGACAGGTGACTGCCCCTGCACCTCTGCTGGTCCTGCTGATCCTGCTGGTCCCAAGGAACAGACCCTGAGAGTGGGCACAAGGCAACTCCCAGATAGAGGTTGGGACTCACAATTCCCCGAGCTGGGACGCAGAGCCTGGGCCCTCAGGATAGACTGAGGTGGTGCCCCTTCCTCCTGCACAAGTGGATGAACTAGAGAAAGGGTTCTAGAATCCCGAGTGGGATTGGGGCTGAAGGACAGAATGGTAGCCTTGGGATGAGGATGCCCTTCCCCTACTAACCACCTTCTCTCACAGGAATGTACGACACGCCCACCCTCCAGGTTCATCCAGGGCCTGAGGTGACCTTGGGCGAGAGTGTGACCTTGTACTGCCACCTGGAGACTGCAACCAGCATGTTCTTCCTGCTCAAGGAGGGGAGATCCAGCCATGTCCGGGAGGGCTGGGGTCCTGTCCAGGCGGAGTTCCCCCTGGGCCCTGTGACTGCAGCCCACCAGGGCACTTACAGATGCTTTGGGTCTTACAACAGCCACTCATGGTCCTTCCCCAGTGAGCCCGTGGAGCTCGTGGTCACAGGTGAGTACAGCCTGCTGACCCCTGACTCACTGTCATGTGGTGAAGGGGCCCTGGGCCTCTGTCCAGGGTCTTTGAGTCTAGAACTGGACAGGACCTGAGAAGGTGACAAAGGTATACATTTATTGAAGGTGGAAAAGAGGTGCAGGGAAGAGACCCACAGTGGCCCAAGGACAAGGGACAAGGTCCTTCCTATCTGGAGATCCTAGTCATCTCCTTCACGCAAATAAGGGGTCAGGGCAGTTGCCCTATCACACACCCACCCACCTGGCTCAGGCCCCATGAAAACTGTATGCAAATGAAGGACCAGGATCAGTTTTTTTTTTTTTTTTTTTGGGTACTGGGGATTGAACTCAGGACCTTGGGCTTGCCAGGCAAGCGCTTATTCTACTGAGCTATCTCCCCAGATTGATCAGTATGTTTTGATTGGCTATGCCCATATGCAAATGAAGGAGTGGAAAGATGATCTTCTGACTGGCCTTGACAACAGCAGCATATTCAAACAAAGAGCTGAAAATAGCACATTTTCTGAGTGGGACTGCGTCCTCTGATGATGGTGGTACCATGTGGGGAGTCTCTCTCATTGTCCTATTTTATTACCCGGAGCCCCGAGAGAAGCCCTCACGGGGAGCAGGGGAAGAAGCAAAGGGACTTCCACTTCTTAGAGACTTAGTTGGTGCAGCCAGGCTTGACAGTGCACATCTGCCATCCTAGCACTGTGGGAGGCTGAGGTAGGAGGACTGTGAGTTTGAGCCCGGCTTGGGTAACAAAGCCACTTGGCAAGACCATGTTTCTACCCAGAGTAAAAACTAAAGCATGGCTGGGGATGGGGCTCAGTCAGTGCAAGGGCCCTGGGTTCAGTCCCCGGGGGGAGGGGGAGATTGGGAGAGGAATATGAATATGCATTAAGTTCTTCTAAGGTCCTGGGTTCAGTCCCCGGGGGGGGGGGGATCCAGTTGGAGGTTCTCAAGGAAGAACACCAGGAGGTGAAGAAGGAATGAGAGGGCATGAAGAGCTGGTGGGGAGACCAGGAGGAACCCCAATCTTTGCATCTCCCTCCATTTCCAGGAGACGGGAACACCAGCTTCTCCCTCTTGGACCCCACCTCTCCTGCAGGTGAGGAGCTGGCCTCCTGAGCTTTGGGGAGGATCAACGCTTCCCGAGGACCCTGAGCACGTGGCCCTGTCCTGAGTGTCTAGTGAGGGCCAGGTGTGCTGCGCTGCAGCCGTGCTGTCTCCAGGTGGACAGCGTGTTTGTGGTCTCCACCTCCCAGTGGGAGGAGTGTGGTGGAGCTAGGTCACCCCTAAATAAGGTGGGAGGGACACTGTGACAGCAAAGTTAGGCTAAGGCCACTATGAGCCTGGACACTGTCCAGGGTGGCCACCCAGAAGGGGGCATCTGAGCCAGTGACACGTGACATCACGAGAAAGCCCCAGGTCTTGGGGAGCAATGGGCTTCTCGGGAGGGAAAGCATGGGCACCGCCGGGGCAGGAAGAGGCCAGGCAGCCCAGGAGGGTGCACACAGTGTTGGGGAGGCATGGGTTGGAGGGGTCGGGTGAAGCCCCGGCCAGCCCTGGCTGAATCATCTTTCTGTCCTCAGCAGCGGCCGATGCCTGGGAGCCATGTGCTATGAACACAGAGTCGGGTGCCCAGAAAGGTGGGTGGTGGCAGTGGCTGCACAGGAGGGGCCGGGCAGAGGAGGATGGGAAGGGGAGGCGGGAGGGCAGCAGGGGGCTCCTGCTCAGCAGTGGCTGCTCTGCCCAGACCCCGTCCTCTGGGACTTCACCACGCAGAACCTCCTGCGGCTGGGCCTGGCGCTGCTGGTCCTGGTGGCCCTCGTGCTGCTCCTGGTGGAAGACTGCAAGAGCAGGAAGCGGGTACGAGTGAGAGCCCACGGTGCCACGTCTCGGGAGCACAGGGGAAGAAGGGGACGCAGAGTGCCCACGGGCACTGGAGGCCTGGCCTGACCTGGGTGTGAGTTCTGTGCTGGACCCACTGTGGAGAGTGGGGCAGGGACCCGAGTGGGGTTTGAGGGAGCACCCTGAAGGGCAGGGCGGGATGAAGAGGCTCCCCGCCTGCTGTGGAGGAGCCTGGATTGCTCAGTGTCTCTGCTGCGTCTCCAGGGTGTGTGCCGCTCCCTGCAAACTGTTCTACCAGGCGGGGCCTTCTGGAACTCTCTCTCCTTAACAGCATGGCCAGGGGAATATTGCTTCTACCTGGAGTGTGTACGTATGTGTGAGTGTACGTGTGTGTGCACGTGCGTGTGTGCATGTGTGTGCGTGCATGTGTGTGTGCGTGCATGTGTGTGTGGTTCTGGGGATTGAGCCCAGGGCTTTGCACTGTGTTACATCCCCAGCCCACTTTGTTGTTTATTTGTTGGCTAAATAGTTAAGGTAGATTCTATTCAAGCTAAAAATTAAAAGATTGGCTAGGGATGAAGCTCAGTGCAAAGGTTCTTGTTTCAATCTGCAGAACTGAAAAAATTGGGCTTTAACCCCAACCTTTGTGCCCAGCATGCACATGTACAGTTTCTTCAGATCAGAACAAGGGTACCATGTTCTTCAGATTTGTTATTATGTTTCAATAAAATGCTGTTTTCTAATAAAATATGTATTCTATACCTCATGGGAGCACATGAACTGAGTCTAAGGCAAAAAGTAAACATTAAAATCTTAAATATTTTAGTGTCCTTAAGCACAAAAGCTTATTCGTTAGTTTTTTTTTTCCCATAAAAAGTCTAAGCATCTTTTGGAAGTGAAGTGTGTCGCTGGCTTATCTCCCAAGTCACCGTGCCAGGAGAGAGACCTCCCCCTGAGTCTGCTGTCCTTCCTGTTCTCATTTAGTTGTGAATTATTTGTCCTTCCCATTCCAACTTGCACGTCCTTTTCGTTTTCCTCCACCTACCCCAGACGTTGAACTCAGGCCGCATGCGTGCGGGGAAGCCTGTACCGCTGAGCTCCCCAGCACCTCTGTGAAATTCGCTCGCGTGCGCAGGCGGGTGAGCTGGGACCAGGCAGATGCGCCCAGTCAGAAGCGGCCCAGCTCCGCCCCGGAGCGTGAGGCTCTGTGAGCCGGTGGGCCTTGCGGTCCCTTAGTGAGCTCGGTGTCTCTGCTGTACTCAAGGTTATCAGGCGGGAGTGGAGAGGAAAGAGCGCGGCCTCTGGGTGTCACGCTGAGCCCTCACACACCTGCAGCCGGCGTGCGCCTGGTGCACCGTGCAGAATCCGAGGAGCGCCATGTAGCCTGGGCTCCTCGCCCCGCTGCGCTGACTGCATGCAGGAGACGGTCAGGGCGCCACGCGTCCCTGTTCCCACCAGCGACCCGTGGCCCACGGGATTAGTCCGGGTCTCGACCGTGTGTAGCCACGTTTCCCAGCACAGCAGCGTAGTGCTGGTTCTGCCTTGGGGGTAAATGAGAAGGCGAGCCACGGAGGTCGGGGGCTGAGCTGAGCACGTGGGTCCCTGAGTCCCTGGGAGATCGAGGGGGACGAGGACACCCCATAGGCACGACGAGCCCACACATCCGCAGCAGCCCAGGTGCCGCCTACCGCCCAAGCCTGAGCCCCTGAGCTAGTGCGGTGCGCACAGGGGGTCCTGCTCCGCTCTCCCACGTGGGTCCTTTTGGCTCTGCCGCGGAGTGAGCCCTGTGAGCTGGGCCGAGCCTGCGTACACACAGTGGATGCTTCAGGGTCCTGGGGTAGCATCCTGGGGCGCGGTTGGGCGAGCCCCGCCTGCAGACGCTTCCCACGCCCCCAGTGCTACTCTGAGCGCTCTCGTCTCATCGCCGAGGCCGTAGGGTGACCCACTTGGCCCTCAGGAGTGAAGCGCTCTGGAGGCTTCCCCACTACGCAGAGGTGTGGGGTGCTCACCTCGGGGAGGCGCCTCTCCCTGGCCCCACAGACCCGTTCTCATTCCCCACCCCATCCCCCGCAGCCGGCTCCGGTTCCTGCCAAGGGTTCAGCTCAGGGTCTGCCTCGACCAAGGGCTGGGGACCCACGTAACACTCCCAGACACGTGGCCGATACTCCCAACCTGGCGCTGGACCATAAATACTAAGCATGCAGGTTCTGCTTAGTACTTTGGAAAATACAGCTTCGCCGAGAGAATGCTCGTTCTGTGGAATTTACCGGCGAAAATTCACGTTCCTAGCTTGGAGGTCCGTGTCCAGCGCTGGCTCCGCCTTCTGGGCTTAGATGTGGTCGTTGATGTCCCCTGCACCCAGGGCGGGGTAAGAGTGTCCGCAGTGCTCATAAATTGTGCTAAAGTACGCGTAGCCCAAATTCTATCGTCTCACCACTTAGAAAATTTTACTTAAATTTCATTTTTGAGCTGCTAGGGGAAAAATACAAAAGTCGCCTTTCCCTGCTGGTGGGCAGCACGCAGGGCCTTGGCGCAGGGTTGCCTTCCTGCTGTTTCCCTCAGGCGAGAGACACCTGGATACCGAGCTCCCCTCACAGTTGTCGACTCTTTTCTTTTTTTTTTTTTTTCCAGTACTGGGACTGAACCTGTGGCTTCCGCACTGAGCTACACCCTTAGCCCCTTTTTATTTTTCTCTCTTTTAAAGAAAAAATATTTATTTATTTATATATTCATTTGGTACAGAATCTCACTGTGCAGCTTGGACTTATAGTGATCTTCCTGTCTCAGCCTCCCCAGGGCCAGGTTTACATGCTTGCGCCATCACGCCCAGTTTCAGTGGCTGACCCACGCACACTCAGATTCCGAGGTCCTGAAGATGGCAAGGCGTGTGGTAGCAGGGATTGATCCCGGGTCCTTGAGCTTGCCAGGCAGGCACTTAGATTGCCGAGGGATCTCGCTAGCCTACTTTTTAAATTTTTACTTTGAGGCTGGGTTTGAGCTTGCAGCCCTCCTGCCTCTGCCCTCAGAGTGACAGGACCACAGGTGTGCGCCACCATGCCCAGTTTAGCTGTCGTTTCTTCGCGGTGAGAACAACAGGGCCCCTTTCTCCCGCTTTTGGACATGCGCAGACGTCTCACCAAGCGCACCATGCAGTAGTGGGAGAGTATTTGCCTTGCTGTAGAATCGACCTCGGGACTCTCCCGCCTTGGAAAATGAGACTCTGTGTCAAGGGGCTGCACTCCTACCCAGGCCCAGGAGTCTGGACCCTCCCTTTGGCCCCTGTGGAGTTACCTTTTTAGTGTGCAGATGGACACTTCAGCCACACTCAGGCCAAGGCAGGAAGGGCTTTTCTGTTTGGAGATTCTGCTCTAAAAACACAAAAAGACAGTTTCAATAATTAACACATTGCATGCATTCTTCCTAGTGGTTAATTGCTGTACAAGATGCTGACATGATATCCTATTTACAAACACTTTTAGAACAAATCCCTCTATTCATTAAGAAAATGCAACTATGTATCTATCCTAACCATTTTGAATACACAGATACAAAACGGACATTCATCTGTATACCTTTTTTTTTTGTTAAGTTCCGTTATTTGAATATTATAGGTGTGTAAACTCAGCAAAACATTCTAAAAGAGTTCAGTAGTCCATAATAGTATTGGGTCTTCCGCTTCACTGGCAATATCAGAAATTGTTGACCTGAGTCCCCTACAGCTCAACATAACAGCATGGCTTTACTTCTTATATTTCATTTTTATACTTTTCTGCTGGATGATTAAGACCAAGGTAAAGCAGGACCTATGCAACAAGAGTTGTAGCTTTTGGGTCTGATAAGGTCAATGAAATCCCCTCAAGATTTATCCTGAGATCCTGTACCTCAGATTGTAGATCCTTTGTCAGTGTCAGCCATGTGGATGAGTCACGGCCATTGCTTGGCCAATGTACTCTCTGTGAAAGCCTGAGAGAATGTTTTCTCTCCATGTGACTCTCCTTAGGCACACTCTACATCATCGATCACTTTCCTCTTTGGCCCCATAATCTTCTTGATCAGAAAATTTGGGACACTACCGAGGTACATGACGTTACAGTACAAGTTCTCATATGTCCTGAGTCCTAACTGACCGTAAAAGGCTAGGCCAAAATATTGGCTTTCCTTACAGCCTTCCTTTTTCTCTAATTTTGGTCTGCAAACTTAGATTGTTAACCCTCCAGAAGACAAACTTATTGTTATTACCATACAACTTAGGTTGCTAAACTTAACCTCACTATCTGTCTGAATATCAAACATCTTAGACATAACATGGAATGGGTATTTTTTATCAAGTATTGATATGTCGAACTTTAAAACTGTCTCATTGCTATTTGTTTCTCAATGAAATTATGGAAAAAAAATTTCACAACTGCAATTCACCAAAGTAACTGGCAATGTATACCTTGTTTAAAATAATTGTCAAAAAAGTAAAATAAAGTAATTGTCAACATTAAAAAAAAGCATTTGTCTGCATGATAATGCTTAAAGTTGATCATCATTTATTCCATACTGCATGTGGATTTAAGGATTTATTTTTAAATTAATAGAAAATATTATTTTACCTATGTTCTAATTTTAAGACAAAATGAAAATTCTGTACATTCTTTTAACATCAAACTGTTTTATATGAACAGATTTTGAGGTGAAATGCTTAAAATCTAAAACCAACACATGGTATTAGAAAATTATATTTCTAAAAAGTTATTTCAAGTTGTTACTGATGAAACTATTTGCTAAAGATTCTTGTAAATTAAATAAACATGTGAAATATTGTAAAAAAAAAAAATAAAAACACAAAAAGAAGAAAAACTGGGCTGAAAGCAGAGGCCAGTACACCAGACCAGACCCAGATGGACATCACCGCGCAGGTCACCCGAGGGCCACGGGGCAGGGTGGCCAAGGGCGCGCACTGCACATATATAACTGAGGGCTCGGCTCTGTGCCTCTCCTTTGGGGCCTCTGTTCCTGCGTGCATCCATCTGCATCCCAAGCTCACCTGTGTCCCTGTGGCTGCCGGGCTCCCCATGAGTCCCTAGTCTGTGTGATCCCAGGAATGGGAGAGGAGACCAAGGGGTGCTGCTCGGTCTAGTGGACCCCTACCCTGAGTGGAAAGCAGGGCTGGGTCCCCCTCTGTCCCAGGGGACCCCAACTCAGTGAGCAAAAGTTCAGACACCCCCTTCCCAAGGCCATGTGAGCCTTAGTCTGGGGAGTATGGGGGGTTAGTTTTCTCCTGGGTCCACCCCACCCTGTGTGTTCCCCAAGCCTCTGGCCCTAATTCTGCCAGCCATCTCCACATTAGGCAGGACTTGAATTTGTAACTCTCCCTTTTCAGCCTGTCTGCGCCGCTCTGCCCGGCGGGGTCTCACCACTGTTCCTACCTCGCCCGACTCACACTTT